TAAATCAATTAGAACCGGCACGGCTGAACGTACAGGGTTGATTGCTTTTGAGACAGTCTCAGAATGCCTATGAAAAGCCCTTATATCAGTTCTGGCAGCCCTGAGATCCCTCAGTCACGAGTGGTAACACGTACCTGCGCTTATTCAATTTTCAATAGTGCATGGACTACGAAATCAATTAGAATCGACACGGCTGAACGTACAGGGTTCATTCCTTTTGAGACAGTCTCAGAATGCCTATGAAAAGCCCTTATATCAGTTCTGGCAGCCCTGAGATCCCTCAGTCACGAGTGGTAACACGCACCTGCGCTTATTCAATTTTCAATAGTGCATGGATTACGAAATCAATTAGAATCGACACGGCTGAACGTACAGGGTTCATTCCTTTTGAGACAGTCTCAGAATGCCTATGAAAAGCCCTTATATCAGTTCTGGCAGCCCTGAGATCCCTCAGTCACGAGTGGTAACACGCACCTGCGCTTATTCAATTTTCAATAGTACATGGATTATGAAATCAATTAGAATCGACACGGCTGAACGTACAGGGTTGATTCCTTTTGAGACAGTCACAGATTGGGCCAAAGTAGGTGCCTGAAGTGGACTGACAGCCCTGAGTTCCCTCAGTCACAAGCAGTAACACACACCTGGTCTTATTCAAATTTCAATAGTACATGGATTACGAAATCAATTAGAATCGACACGGCTGAATGTACAGGGTTGATTCCTTTTGAGACAGTCTCAGAATGCCTCTGAAAAGCCCTTAAATTAGTTCTGACAGCCCTGAGATCCCTCAGTCACGACTGGTAACACGTACCTGCGCTTATTCAAATTGCAATAGTACATGGATTACGAAATCAATTAGAACCGGCACGGCTGAACGTACAGGGTTGATTCCTTTTGAGACAGTCTCAGAATGGGCCAAAGTAGGTGCCTGAAGTGGACTGACAGTCACAGATTGGGCCAAAGTAGGTGCCTGAAGTGGACTGACAGCCCTGAGATCCCTCAGTCACAAGCAGTAACACACACCTGGTCTTATTCAAATTTCAATAGTACATGGATTACGAAATCAATTAGAATCGACACGGCTGAATGTACAGGGTTGATTCCTTTTGAGACAGTCTCAGAATGCCTATGAAAAGCCCTTATATCAGTTCTGGCAGCCCTGAGATCCCTCAGTCACGAGTGGTAACACGCACCTGCGCTTATTCAATTTTCAATAGTGCATGGATTACGAAATCAATTAGAATCGACACGGCTGAACGTACAGGGTTCATTCCTTTTGAGACAGTCTCAGAATGCCTCTGAAAAGCCCTTAAATCAGTTCTGACAGCCCTGAGTTCCCTCAATCACGAGTGGTAACACGCACCTGGGCTTATTCAATTTTCAATAGTACATGGATTACGAAATCAATTAGAACCGGCACGGCTGAACGTACAGGGTTGATTCCTTTTCAGACAGTCTCAGAATGGGCCAAAGTAGGTGCCTGAAGTGGACTGACAGCCCTGGGATCCCTCAGTCACGAGTGGTAACACGCACCTGGGCTTATTCAAATTTCAATAGTACATGGATTACGAAATCAATTAGAATCGACACGGCTGAAGGTACAGGGTTCATTTCTTCTGAGACAGTCTCAGAATGCCTCTGAAAAGCCCTTAAATCAGTTCTGACAGCCCTGAGATCACTCAGTCACAAGCAGTAACACACACCTGGGGTTATTCAGATTTCAATGGTACATGGATTACGAAATCAATTAGAATCAACACGGCTGAACGTACAGGGTTGATTCCTTTTGAGACAGTCTCGGAATGCCTCTGAAAAGCCCTTAAATCAGTTCTGACAGCCCTGAGATCCCTCAGTCACGAGTGGTAACACGCACCTGGGCTTATTCAAATTTCAATAGTACATGGATTACGAAATCAATTAGAATCGACACGGCTGAACGTACAGGGTTCATTCCTTTTGAGACAGTCTCAGAATGGGCCAAAGTAGGTGCCTGAAGTGGACTGACAGCCCTGAGTTCCCTCAGTCACGAGCAGTAACACACACCTGGTCTTATTCAAATTTCAATAGTACATGGATTACGAAATCAATTAGAACCGGCACGGCTGAACGTACAGGGTTGATTGCTTTTGAGACAGTCTCAGAATGCCTATGAAAAGCCCTTATATCAGTTCTGGCAGCCCTGAGATCCCTCAGTCACGAGTGGTAACACGTACCTGCGCTTATTCAATTTTCAATAGTGCATGGACTACGAAATCAATTAGAATCGACACGGCTGAACGTACAGGGTTCATTCCTTTTGAGACAGTCTCAGAATGCCTATGAAAAGCCCTTATATCAGTTCTGGCAGCCCTGAGATCCCTCAGTCACGAGTGGTAACACGCACCTGCGCTTATTCAATTTTCAATAGTACATGGATTATGAAATCAATTAGAATCGACACGGCTGAACGTACAGGGTTGATTCCTTTTGAGACAGTCACAGATTGGGCCAAAGTAGGTGCCTGAAGTGGACTGACAGCCCTGAGTTCCCTCAGTCACAAGCAGTAACACACACCTGGTCTTATTCAAATTTCAATAGTACATGGATTACGAAATCAATTAGAATCGACACGGCTGAATGTACAGGGTTGATTCCTTTTGAGACAGTCTCAGAATGCCTCTGAAAAGCCCTTAAATTAGTTCTGACAGCCCTGAGATCCCTCAGTCACGACTGGTAACACGTACCTGCGCTTATTCAAATTGCAATAGTACATGGATTACGAAATCAATTAGAACCGGCACGGCTGAACGTACAGGGTTGATTCCTTTTGAGACAGTCTCAGAATGCCTATGAAAAGCCCTTATATCAGTTCTGGCAGCCCTGAGATCCCTCAGTCACGAGTGGTAACACATACCTGCGCTTATTCAATTTTCAATAGTGCATGGATTACGAAATCAATTAGAATCGACACGGCTGAACGTACAGGGTTCATTCCTTTTGAGACAGTCTCATAATGCCTCTGAAAAGCCCTTAAATTAGTTCTGACATCCCTGAGATCCCTCGGGCACGAGCAGTAACACACACCTGGTCTTATTCAAATTTCAATAGTACATGGATTACGAAATCAATTAGAACCGGCACGGCTGAACGTACAGGGTTGATTCCTTTTGAGACAGTCTCATAATGCCTCTGTGAAGCCCTTAAATTAGTTCTGACATCCCTGAGATCCCTCGGGCACGAGCAGTAACACACACCTGGTCTTATTCAAATTTCAATAGTACATGGATTACGAAATCAATTAGAACCGGCACGGCTGAACGTACAGGGTTGATTCCTTTTGAGACAGTCTCAGAATGCCTCTGAAAAGCCCTTAAATCAGTTCTGACAGCACTGAGTTCCCTCAATCACGAGTGGTAACACGCACCTGGGCTTATTCAAATTTCAATAGTACATGGATTACGAAATCAATTAGAACCGGCACGGCTGAACGTACAGGGTTGATTCCTTTTGAGACAGTCTCAGAATGGGCCAAAGTAGGTGCCTGAAGCGGACTGACAGCCCTGAGATCCCTCAGTCACGAGTGGTAACACGTACCTGCGCTTATTCAATTTTCAATAGTGCATGGATTACGAAATCAATTAGAATCGACATGGCTGAACGTACAGGGTTGATTCCTTTTGAGACAGTCTCAGAATGGGCCAAAGTAGGTGCCTGAAGTGGACTGACAGCCCTGAGATCCCTCAGTCACGAGCAGTAACACACACCTGGTCTTATTCAAATTTCAATAGTACATGGATTACGAAATCAATTAGAATCGACACGGCTGAACGTACAGGGTTCATTCCTTTTGAGACAGTCTCAGAATGCCTCTGAAAAGCCCTTAAATCAGTTCTGACAGCCCTGAGTTCCCTCAATCACGAGTGGTAACACGCACCTGCGCTTATTCAATTTTCAATAGTACATGGATTATGAAATCAATTAGAATCGACACGGCTGAACGTACAGGGTTGATTCTTTTTGAGACAGTCTGAGAATGGGCCAAAGTAGGTGCCTGAAGTGGACTGACAGCCCTGAGATCCCTCAGTCACAAGTGGTAACACGTACCTGCGCTTATTCAAATTTCAATAGTACATGGATTACGAAATCAATTAGAATCGACACGGCTGAACGTACAGGGTTGATTCCTTTTGAGACAGTCTCAGAATGCATGTGAAAAGCCCTTAAATCAGTTTTGACAGCCCTGAGATCCCTTGGGCACGAGCAGTAACACACACCTGGTCTTATTCAAATTTCAATAGTACATGGATTTCGAAATCAATTAGAATCGACACGGCTGAACGTACAGGGTTGATTCCTTTTCAGACAGTCTCTAACAATATTCTGCGGTCACTGGGGGGGCCCAGTGACTGCCCCACCCTGCTGGGGGCCTCCCCCCGATAGTCACTGGGGGTCTATCTGGTGCAATACTGCACTTCTTGAGGTTCTCTCTTCACCAGGATGTAGCTGACATCCAGGGCTTTCAGAATTATGTTTGGTGACGCTTTCTGTGGGGGTTTTGACAAAACTGTATGCATCAGAAGAGAAAAAACAGCCTCTTCACTTTGAAAAAGCCTGGGTGGGGGAGTCACTGGGGGGTCAAAATGGACCCCCCAATAGTCACTGGGGGTCTATCTGGTGCAATACTGCACATCTTGAGCTTTTCTCTTCACCAGGATGTAGCTGACATCCAGGGCTTTCAGAATCTGTCTTCAGCAGAGCCTATGTGGGGGTTTTGACAAGACTGTATGCATCAGAAGAGAAAAAACAGCCTCTTCACTTTGAAAAAGCCTGGGTGGGGGAGTCACTGGGGGGTCAAAATGGACCCCCCAATAGTCACTGGGGGTCTATCTGGTGCAATACTGCACATCTTGAGCTTTTCTCTTCACCAGGATGTAGCTGACATCAAGGGCTTTCAGAATCTATCTTCAGGGGAGCTTATGTGGGGGTTTTGACAAAACTGAATGCATCAGAAGAGAAAATACAGCCTCTTCACTTTGAAAAAGCCTGGGTGGGGGAGTCACTGGGGGGTCAAAATGGACCCCCCAATAGTCACTGGGGGTCTATCTGGTGCAATACTGCACATCTTGAGGTTTTCTCTTCACCAGGATGTAGCTGACATCAAGGGCTTTCAGAATTGGTCTTCAGCAGAGCTTATGTGGGGCTTTTGACTGACCTGTATGTATCAGAAAGGAAAGACTTATCTTTTTTCATCAAAAAAGGCTTGTTGGGGGAGTCACTGGGGGGGTCAGAATGGACCCCTCAATAGTCACTGGGGGTCCATCTACTGCAATACTGCACATCTTGAGGTTTTCTCTTCACCCAGATGTAGCTGACACCCAGGGCTTTTGGAATCTGTCTTTAGCAGCACCTAACTAGGGGTTTTGACAGGTCTGTAGGCACAGAGGATGGAAAGACACTTTTTCACTTCTGAAAACCCAAGTGCCACATATCACAACTCCCAGGCCACTATGAATCACCTTCAAACACCTTTGCCTGTGCATGCCAGACACCTACCCAGCTTTGGTGTGGATCTTTCTCTCACCCCCATCATGCCAGCATACTATCAAGTGAACACCCCACTGAGAGCAGATGTAAATGGCAATTGTAAGTTGCATTGCAGAGTACTATTCAGCTTGCAGCACTGATATCAGATATCACAAGCATGGAAGTAGGCTGGGCCACCTTTCATGAGCATCTCCTGTCAACTTCAGATCTACCTTATCTGAATGACTTTCAAGTTAGCTTCTGCCTGTCTATGCTTCAGGGGTCAATAGAGCCAACTATAGCAGGATGCTGGTGTGAGTTTCTCCCCACCAAGTGGAAGCTGATCTTGAAAGCTGATTGATAGCCCATGTTTCCCTTCCTGGCTCACCCAATGTCTCTCTCCATGCCCATGTCAATCTGCTGCTACTCAGATTGGAGATCATTGGTGTGTTCTGGGAATGGTGTGATTTCAGGGGGGTCAATCATTCTCTCAATGTGATAGACCCAGGTCAACTCCAGTTTTACCTGTGGAGGCTCATGGAGAGCAGAGGTTTGGAAGCAGTGTCACAGTTCTTCATGGCACTGTATCAGCATGTACCAGATGGACATGCCTCAAGGCTTTGCTATTATGTTTTGAGGTTAATGGGTACTGAACTTTGAAGTATGTATCCTGGTCTGTTCTGATATGGTGAAGGCTCATGAACAGTCCTCTCAAAAATAAGTTCCTTCAATCCATCATGGCAGATCATTTTATCCAAATGGATACAGATGCCTCTTCCCAAATCAAGAATATGGATGCATCATTTGATTTTAGTATGATGAGCTACTGAACCAGTTGGATCTCTTGCAATGACATTTCTACACCTCTTGAAAGTAATCCTCTTTTCAGACATCTCTTCTGCTCTGGTGGTCAGTCAACAGTCAGATTTCAATATAAAGACCTACTTCTACTCCTTGCCTTTTCCCTTGCCCTTGCCAGTGTTGCTAGAGCCAACCTCTTCCTTTACTTGCTTAGCTCTCATCTCCCTCTTCCTAGCTCTTTGCTTTGCCTTTCTAATTCTCTCCTTCTCCCTTTTTTCTGCCTTTGCCTTCTCACTCATCACAGATCTTTTCCTCCCTGCACTACTGCTCTCTGCCACTCCTTCCCTGTCCTGCCTGTTGAATATCTCTGCCTGGGTCTCCAACTGTTGGGGAGGTTCCACTTGAGGTCTGGGAGAGAGTTGAGGCATGTAGTAGCTAGGCCCAAAGAAGTGACAAGAAGTGGTATTGTTTCTGGAAGGGTGAGAAAGGGGAGGTGGAACAACAGGAGTATCCTGGAGGTATGATTGCTGAGGGGATGGTACTTGAGCAGTAAGTTCTGGCTGGGCTGGTTGGAGATGGCAGACTCCTGAGTATTGAGTACCTTGGATAGAGGTCTTGATCTGTAGCTGAATCATAGATGGCTGAGGGTTGACCATGATAGACAGGATGAGGTGGGAAGGAAGTCTGAGGTTGTCTCTAGAGAGCTGGCTGCAAAGTTTCACAGAACTCTACCCAGACTGCCACATTGCATCATCTCCATATCTCCATATCTCCATATCTCCATATCCCAACCATGAAATTTCTACAACTACTCTGATTCTGCTCTTTTGCTCAGTACAATATTCATCTCAAGCAGACCTCAAATCATAAGTCAAAATGGTCAGTCTGTACCTCACATCCCTGCCAAGCTGACCAGCAGTCTTTCAAGCTTCAAGGAACATTCATCTGCTCCCTTTGCAGCAAGTTCTGTGCAACACACTCTAATTATGGTTCACATCTAGCTATGCAGCATCCCTATGACATAGCTGTGAGTTATCTCCACTCCCTCAAACATTTCTGGTTGAGAGATAGGGTTGATGCTGACCAACAGCTTGTTTTCAAAGGAGATACCCAACCTTTCCTACATCAGACAAGGCTGGGACCCCATTCCAAATTCACCTGTGTGTCAGGATGTCCCTTTACCAGCACCAAGCATCTCCCCATGTTGGCTCATGCTGCATCCCATGTCAGAGAGTTATCCAGTGAGTTCTGTTCAGAAGTTGAAAACCTGCTGACATGTCAGATGAAGATTTGATCAGTCTTGATCCCAAAGATGAGCCAGAAAGACAACAGATCCTCTATATCCCAGGTGAGCCAAACACTTCACACTCCAGCCAGCCTCCCAGCTAGGTTTTCCACATTAAGCTACTGTACCTCTCCTCTCTTCTTGGAAGTTTCAGCTGTCCTCTGACCTCCAGATCAAGACCAAAACAAGTACCACATCCCTCTCAACCAAGAACCAGTCCTGACTACCCATGGTCTGGCCTATCATTCTATCCTTCAAGTCTTCATCTGCACCATCTGCAAGAATGGTGTCAGAGGTTCCCATCTCTTGGCTCATTGTCAACAACACTCTCTTCCCACCACCCCTCAAGATATCCTGGACATCCTGGCTACCTACACCCCTCACACTGGGAGTCACCCTCCACTCCCCAGCTTTACCAACAGTCAGCCCATGGTAGCCCTACCTTTACTCCCCATCCAAGAGGGGTTTTCATGTCATCTCTGCAGATTCTGCTGTCCTGCTCTCAACACCATGAAAAACCACTTTTCCAGACAACACAAAGGCAACCCTTACAAGGATCATTCCTCAAACACCCAGCTACAGTGTCTATACTCTCAAGGGACCAGGGTATTCTTCCCAGTTCAACAACCAGACCATGCTATTGTGGGAGACACACTCTACTCCAGATTCCTGCAATCTCTACCTCCTCAGCCCAAGACACAACCCATTGAGGCTTTGGGAGAGAAGGAGTATTCTCCATTGATGAGGAGGCTTGGGTGGATGAGACATGTGGAGGGGCATGATCCAGTACTGCTTTCCAGTTTGGTAGCTGGGCCCAGGGTGGATGAAGAGCATCTTCACAGGCTGAAGAGAATGGTCAAGGGGTATTTCAAAGAGGTGGAGGAGGTTGTCAAGAAGACTCCAAATGAGGTGATCCTCCAGTGGTTGAACAGTGAGACACCAGAGCAGTGAGTCATGTCCTTGACTTGGCACAAGCTGATTCCAAATACAACCATGATCCTTACAAAGCACTGCAGAACCCTGAAAGCTTCCAGAAATACACAACCTTTTTCAGCAGGCTGTTCTGTTTCCTGCTCAGAGTGGTAAAGGGAGATCACCCTTCCTATGTGCTTCCCCTCACCTCTCAACAGCAAGCATTTTGTCAAGATCTCCACTTGGTCCTTGAAGATGGAGAAGACCAGGAAAGGTTCAACCCCATCTTCCATGCTCTGGCACACTCACTCCTCACATTCTCTCCTCCTCAAGCTGTCAGGGATCCACACCAGTATGCTCTCATCTGTTTCCACACCCTAGTCAACCTCCTACCAGATGGACATTTCTGTGGACCAAGGGACATGACCCCCAAGCTGGCAATGCTTCAATGGGGGTTCAAAGGAGTTGTAATGAGACAAATTCAAGCCAGGTTGGACGAGGAGGGAGACTGGCTCTCTAGTGAGGAGTTGGAGAGGTGAGATTTACCACTCCCAGCTGAGTGTCACTGACAGCCAGTCTGATCAGACAGGAGGTCTCAGTTCTCCATGCAGGTAGACTATCACCATTCTCATCACTGCTGTCCAGCAAGGCCCTCATCAACCACATGGCATTCAGTCAGCCAGACCTGCCAAATGTGTACTGGAGGAACACACAGAAGACCCTTTTGGTGGTGAATGGTGAGAGACTGGAATTGGAGAACCTCAAGGAGGGCATTCACAGGCTGGAAAAGGACATGACTGAATACTTTGAAGAAAACCTTCTCCTCAATCTGCCACTGGCACATTTTCCCTGCCCTCCATTGGGGGAGATTGTGGACCATCCAAGTCTGGATGAAGGGGGATATAATTTTGTGGAAGAGGAGACCAACCCATTCAAGGCAAGCAGGTGGAGGTTGGTGCAGCATATATTGGAAGATGAGGAACAATCAGGTATGCTGTATCTTGAGGACTGCCATGAGCTGACTGTCAGTGGTATTCACCCAAGGTCTCCTAGACAAAGTGCCCTTATGGAGAGTGGACCAGCTTCACCAGTATCTCCAAAAGTGTGCTTCCTTCATGGACAAGCTGGCTGTCCTTATCCATCTCACCTATGGGGCACCAGCAAGAAGGACTGAACTTATGGTTCACAAGATCAGTAACAGCTTGGGACAGAGGAATGTCTTCTTCATCAATGGGAGAATAGTCCTGGTATCAAGATATCACA